AACTTTGTAGTACCCCACAGTCGGGCCCAGGTTTCAAACACCTTTTATTGTACAGCAATAAAGAATGGAACAGACCCCCCCACAAATGTAAAGGCCGTCTAGCTTGAACATTCAAAAAGAGTCCAAAAAGTGTCTGATAAATGAAGCAACAAAAAGGGGGGGAATGATTTTATTTTTTAGCTAAAATATGTAAATTTTACCTTACCCCTAGAAAATTGACCTCGTTTTGAATAGTCGTAATCCCCTCGGTAGAGATAGTTTTAATGCCCCTCGTTTTGTAGATAGTCTTAATGACCCTCGTGTAGTAGTATCTTTTTAGTATGTAAAAGATTTTATCTTCATTATAGAATAATAAAAAAATATTATAACTTTTTTTAAAAAATAATAAGGAAAAAAGGCCCCCAAGGGAAAATAAGTCACTCTGTGACTTTTTTGGGTTACCCTGGGTTCTCTACATTGCTGCTATGTATGAAAATTCTTTAAACTGTATTGTGTATACCTGAATAAATTTATTTATTTACTTAAAGGGGCTGTTCAAATAGACTGAAAGGTGGTTTTTGCGGTTTTAGTTAAAGAGGCTACCGTTTTTGCAAACATATGAGGGGGGGAGAGGGGGAGGGTTTTTGGGGGTTGTGGGGTGGGGTGGGGTACGGGGGGCCTTCCTGGGGGTGTACGGCCCGGCGGAAGGTGTATGCTGAAAAAAATGCGTTTTTTTGGGGGACGTTTTTGGTGTACCATTTAAGATCACTCCCAGTCGTCACGATTATTGGGGGTGATTGGATTCATTGTCGTCGCAAGGATGTCAAACCCGAGAGGGAGATTTTTTTTTTCAGGATATTTAGGGGCCTTTTGCGGAGTTTTAAATGTTACGGTGTAGGGGGGGGGATGAGGTGGTTGGGGGGTCATGCAACGTTCGTAGAAGGGAATGCGGTAAGACTGGATGCAAAAAGTTTCTAGAGGTGTCAGCGTCGGAGTGTAGTGTGCTAAATGTGGTTTTCCGATCACGAGGTGTTATGGTGGATGTTGATGGGTAGGATTCCCGAGGCGTTACAGAGGTTTCTGGAAGTTGAAATGTGGGTTTTAATGCACAAAAGAGGTTTTGGGGGAAGTTTTTTGTGGTGCTTGGAGGGGTGGTGGGCTAAATGGCAGGGGGGAATTGAGTAGTCAATGGGGGGGAACTGTCGGTAAGGTGAGGGGAAAAATTTTTATCAGCAGAAGGAAAAGAAGCAAGAAAAGCAGTATGGGCTATTGAACTATTTTAAAAAATCAACTGCAACAGTTTTTAAAAAGGGGGGGGGGGAGTGTATCCGGTGGTTTTAAATTTAAAATTTTTAAAAAGCTTAATTATTTTTGATGCGGCCGGATAGCAAGTGGAATTTTGAGGTTTTTTGGGGTGACCGTCCTTGGGCGTTTGTCTTGCGAGAGCAGGGCGACGTCTAAGGCACAGAAATTATGGGAAATTGGGTTCAGGATTCTTGGGGAAAATTTGTAGGGGGCAGGTCCTTCGGGCAACGGAGGCTATAATACCTTTGTAGAGCAGGTATGAATTGCAAAACAAAAATGCTGGGATTTCTAAGGGGGCGCTGGGGAGAAAAAGGGCGAATATGTAGTTTTAATCTGAGACATGGACAGGTTGGGGGTTTGAATGGACCTATAAATGAAGAAGTTTGGGTTGGCGTGGGGGATAGTGTAGGGAATCCCCGGGGGTTGACGGAATCCTTGTGATTTTTACAAGGGGCAATTGGGGGTTTTATTCGCGATTTTTTGGTGATTTATTTAATGCCATGAAAAAAAGTGGCATTATTGGGGGGCAACAAAGAACAGGGGGGTTGTTCTAGTCCCCAAAAAAAAAATTGGGAAATTTTATACATAATTTAGGGCAAATTTATTAATTGTGGGACATAAAAAATTTTGCGAAATTGTTAGGAAATAGGAAAAAAACGGGTTTTGGGGAGTGTTTCTGGGCAGGGCAATATGGTGTGCCAGGGACGATCTATGTGGGGACAAGGAATTTTTCGCAGGTTATTGAGGAAAACGGGGGGGTAATAAGGGTGGAATATTTTTTAGATTTGGGACGCTGCATCGATTGGGGTGGGAGAGATGCATTATGGGGTTTAGCAGTGGCAAGGTTTCGGAAAGGAAATTGTTAGTTGGGCCCAAAATTTTGTACGAGCAGGCTACGTTTAGGGTGCAGGTAAACGGTAGGTTGGGAAAAGTTGTTAGGGTGCATAGGGGATTGCGGCAGGGGGGTTTCCCATATCACAAATTTTTTTTGCATTGATTCAGGACCCCTTTTTTTTGAGCCGTGAGGGGGGATTGTCGACAGGATAAAGCAAGGTTGGGTTGGGGTACAATCAGGAATTATAGGTTTCGGGGGAAAGGAAACTACGGTTTTTTTTCGTGGAGCCAAAGGGTTTAGGGAAAAAATGAAGCGAATTGGGGGAATGTTTTGGGAAAGCAAACCCGGAATGACGGTAAAAGGAAAAATCAATGCTTATGGGGTGGGGATTTTGCGGGTGGGTTTAGGGGGGGGTTTGACCGGATAAACGGGGCTTTGGGATTGGTTGACCGGCAGGATTAAAGAGATTTTTGGACATGTTGGGGGTTTAATTTTTGTAAAAAATTTTCCCCGCAAATAAAATCGGCAAAAATTGGCACTGGTAGAGGGGAGGGAGGGGTGGGTTAAGGGGGAGGGAAAATACTGCCCTCGGGGGAAATTTTAGCGAATAGGCGCGTCAGGAGGGGGGGCTGTGTTGTGTTGGTGGAGATCCTGATAGGTCTTTATGCGTTTATTTCTGTAAAAAAATTGGAAAACGTAAGGTTGTGGGTTTTGGTAGGGTTTTAAGAAAGGGGGGTGGGGGGGGGTTTTTAGGTCTTAACTTTAAGTTTAGATGTGGGGGGGGCGAAACACCGGACAGAATGCAATCGGATAAATTTTGTCGGATTTTGGGATTACGTCAGGGTATATTGGCATTTTTTCTGTGGGGAGAGAATCGAGCACTGTAGCGATATTTTTGGTACACAGCAGAGAAATAAAGACATTAGGGAAACAATGGTTTTTCTTATTTTCAAAGGGATATTGCGATTTCAAAGGGCAAGGGTTTAGGGAGTTAATACCTTAAGGGTACACGAGGCGGTTCTTGAATATGTGTGAGTGAAGGGGCATACGATTGGTATGGGTGTGTTTAATGTATGTCGTTAGTTTTGGTGTTTTATTCAAACAAATATATATACTATTTCTTGGAAAATAATTTTTTTTTTTAAAATGACGTGGTTAAGAGAGTGGGTCCTTGTGAAGCAAACTCTGAATTGCATGAAGGTGTTATGTAAAAGCACCTTTTGCAACTTGTATATATAGTTTTCTTTTTTTACTTTCCTTGTATCAGGCTTGGGGTGATACCCGGTAACGTTTTTGTTGGGGCCCTGGGATATTGTTTGGGAAAATGACCAGTATAGGGTAAACAATTTTGTATTATGTGTCATAATCTCTCTAAGTTTTTGAATGGGAAGAAATTTGGGGTGTGTTGTTGCAAATGTTATTTGTTTGGTTTCAGAATTACTCATCTATTAAGTGGTTCCCTTTGTAATGTACTGAATTTGTTTGGTTATTTTGCATTTGTCCAGTAAATTGATACCGTTTCATTACATACGTTGTTCTTTTGGGTATTTTGTTACATATGCACTTGTTTATGATAATTTTTTACAAAGGTTTTTTTTTTTTTTTTTTTTTCAAAATCAAACACTAAGGATAAATTGTGAATGTTTCTTTTTTTATAATGTTTTAAGAGGTTTTCTAATTTAAAGGGAAAGAAAATTTGTGTATTTTGTGTTACCTTAGATAAGTAATAATGCATAGGGGACGGACGAAATTTATACCCTTCTAGCTTAATATTTATAATTGTAATTTTACTGCTTGAATTAATGACAATAAACCTTTTTTTTATTTAATGTATTGTATTTTTTTAAATAAAAAAAAAAGCCAATAATAACCCAACAAAAAGCCGCAGTAAGAATAATCACTAAATCCCATCCCAGGCAACACACCCCCTCACTCTTCATAGATCTAAACTTACTCCCTGTTCAGTACATCCACACTTACTACTGTGCAATCTACATCTACAGGACCTTAAATTCCAATATTAACCTTGACCTAAAACGCTTCCTTGATAGTTGCGACAGAACCCACAGGCACAACACCAGACACAAACATCTCTATGACATTCCCCGTGTCCGACTAAACTTTTACAAAAATTCAATGTATGTCAAAGGCCCTAAAATCTGGAACACTACCTGAAAATTCTAAAACTACAGACACATTCATCACCTTCAAAACTACCATCAGAAAACAACTTATCTCCCTGATACACCCCGTCAACTAATTACACGAATACCACCTGGTGGTTAACACTTACACTCACTCACCCATTTGACCATAAACAGAAATATCAATCTCAAAATAATGAATCTTAACTAGTCATAAGTTGGCCTGTGATACTCCATTACTGAAATTATGTATAGTGCCAAAAACAAAAGCATTCACATTGCTAAACTCACAAACTAGTATTTAGTCACTTAGCCATAATACCAACTTACCACAATTTTGTAATATTCTAAACTTAAATTAAATCTTAAGTCTGCCCGAAATGCCTAGCCATGCTAGGTGTTCTAATGGTACACTAATTATTTTACTTCATGTAAACCACACAATAACCAAATTCTGTAAACTCAGCATTGTAATCCTAATAGAGAATAAACTTTGAATTTGAATTAGAATACGAATGTGGCAAACGAGTGTCTGGGCTAGTTAAGGGGGTGTCAAATATCAACAAGGTTCAAGTTACGTTAACACACAGTAACAAGAGTGTGTTCGTCCCTTGGTAATTACCAAGTGACACACTCCCCCCCCTCCTCCCTCCCCATCACTCTCCTACCAGTAACAACTACTCACCCCCTAACCCCCGACCCTTCCCCTAACGGCCTTCCCCCTCCCCACAAACAACCACTGACATCACCTCCCCTCCTCCAGGTCAATGGCGCCCTTTAGCCATGGAGGTCAAGAATAGTGGCGCCACTAGTCACTCCTCTGCCATCCACCACACAATCAACATCTCCAGCCCTTCCAGTTCCATCAACCTGTGGTAATTTAAAAAACTTGGATTACTCCAATTTCATGGTAATTTTTCATAGATCAGCTTTGAAAATATTTTAGCAATTTTTCTTCCTACAAAATGTTGAAGGAAGCATTCTAAATACAAAGTAAGACTTCAAACTATTGCTTACTGCAGTTAGAATAATCTAGTAATGTCCATACTTTTATCTTTGCAGACATTGTTTTGGCGTTGTTGGTGATGATCTCTCTGAAGACTTGCAGCTCCCCATAACGCGGACTTCACCACACAGCAGCTGCCCACAACATGCAGAATATCTTCAACCTACAAGATTCGATAAACTTTAGCATTAATTAAAATGTATAGAAAGACTGTCTTTCTTTATCACAGCAAAGAAATGTTCAAGGAACAGAAAAAGGAAATAACTGAGACAAGCCTCAACTGCTGTATTTGTCAGCAGGACAACATTCACACAATTTGGGAGCTTTAAGCTCTAAGAAAAAAAAAAAAATACCTACCCCAACACTACTAACAATAGTAGTAATGAGGCGGATAGCCTCAATACTGTCATTATTAGTTGTTTGAGGTATGATACATTTTTAAATTTCGTGACCCTGTGTTTATAGTGTCAGCTGTCCACTGCCCAATCATGTAGAACACTTGCCTCGCTGCAAACACTTCCGCCTGCACAACTATCTGTATTAGAAGACTATTAGAATACTAGACAAGATCACCTGTCTTATTTGTTAGGATGATTCTGCGGCAATTAAACAATTTACCCTTGAAACTCCATAACATGCAACCTAGCCAAACCCACTCCTAATACCCCTTAGACGCCTATATTTATCTGGAAAAAAAATAATTTTTAGTCAACTTGCACTACTCTCCTCCGAATCAAACCTGATTCCCTAAAAGTTTACCGCTCCCCCCCCATTCAATTTTACATACGTGCACAACTTTATAGATCTATAAAGTTTTATCAGGTTTGATCCAAGTAAGGGGAGGGTACTTGCAACTGCTTGCATCAAGATACCTTCACTAGTACAAACACTTCTTGAAGGTCATCCAAATTTAACAAGGTAGTTAAGATCATTATCTTAATGTTATTTCCCCTGCAATTCCATGTCCCTCACAGCACACTAAGTTAACAACCAACACTTACCTAACCATTTGGAGGACTGCCGTAAACCAGTTTCCTAACAACTATGGTAGCCTGAACTCATAACCTACCTTTACCTGCCAGTTATGGCTGGCATTCTAAGTACAACCTCAGGACCACTGCATTCAAGCCCCCCCCCCCCCACTCTACCTCTTTCTGGGTTTCTAACCCAGCAGGGTTAATATCCTATTCTCACTAATACCAATCTAAATCACCCCCTAACTATACTCATCAGCATCAGATGTTAGTGATTCCTTTCTGCTAACACTACACTTTAGATCAGAGGTTTTCATTATTTTCATTAACGTCTGCTGCAAGAAGTGTTAAACTGGTGGCCTGGTGGCTAAAGCTCCGGCTTCACACACACGGAGGGCCCGGGTTCGATTCCCGGCGGGTGGAAACATTTCGACACGTTTCCTTACACCTGTTGTCCTGTTCACCTAGCAGCAAATAGGTACCTGGGTGTTAGTCGACTGGTGTGGGTCGCATCCTGGGGGACAAGATTAAGGACCCCAATGGAAATAAGTTAGTCCTCGATGACGCACTGACTTTCTTGGGTTATCCTGGGTGGCTAACCCTCCGGGGTTAAAAATCCGAACGAAATCTTATCTTACTTACAAACTATCAAACCAACTGCAATTCTGAACGCTAATGCTTTTATATTCATAGGAACCTGAACGCCGCTTAAATTTTCAAAAAAAAATTTAAATTGTGTAAACTCAATGAATCAGTATTTAACTTTGCACAGTTTGGCCAAAGGCATAAAAAACGTAGAACACCCACCACAACCACTACCCAAAGCCCGAAACCCACCAACATCCCCACGGAAACCACGTGAAATAACAGATTCCACACAGCTTCTGAAGGTCGTTGGTGGGTTCCAAGGCCAACAGTTCTACGTAATCTATGCCTTCGGGGGAGATTACTCTCCCCTGCTATATGCATTCATAATGCATATAGCAGATTCTCCATTTTATTCTTAACCTAACTACCTAAATATAAATGTACTTACAATACACTTACGGAAACCAACAATGGAAAAGCAATTCGAGACGATTTTTTGGTATCTCTTGGACGAGTATCAAGTCAGACCAAGGGTCAAAAACTATAATAGAATACAAGACAGGTCGCAAAAACCGTGGGGGGTGAAATTATAAAGGACGTCAATCGACCAAGTTTCAAAAAACGTAGTGGTATAGACAGTAGCAGTAAAAGCAGTAGTAATAACAATAGTAGTGTAGGTAGTACTGGTAAGATCTGCGGTAATGTAAATGGTAAGATAAGATAAGATTTCGTTCGGATTTTTAACCCCGGAGGGTTAGCCACCCAGGATAACCCAAGAAAGTCAGTGCGTCATCGAGGACTGTCTAACTTATTTCCATTGGGGTCCTTAATCTTGTCCCCCAGGATGCGACCCACACCAGTCGACTAACACCCAGGTACCTATTTGCTGCTAGGTGAACAGGACAATAGGTGTAAGGAAACGTGTCGGAATTTCCACCCGCCGGGAATCGAACCCGGGCCCTCCGTGTGTGAAGCGGGAGCTTTAGCCACCAGACCACCTGTGGTAGTGATAATGCCAATGGTGATAGTACTGGTAATAATATAAGTGCCGGTAGACAGTCTAGCAATATGTCCTGGTAGTAGTAACATTAATAGTAGTAATAGTAACATTAGTAGCTGAAATAGGGTCAGTACAAAAAAGAAAATTCAAATGGAGCTTACAACAGACATGAAAAGAAACTCCAATATTCCTGTTTGCCAATGCTAGACAAGAAATTAGCCCGACTTTGTATTTACTTCTAAGAGACTGACCATATTTTATCAAGGTTGGAGAGTAGAGCTCAAAATTAACTCTCCAATTTAGTCACCAAGACTGCTGTTACCTCCGTAGTCAACAAATAAAGCCTACTCTCCACGCGAAACATTTCATGAATAATGAAACGGCCTGAGCTTGCTACCATCTGCAGCTCATAAGACTGCCATCCCCACGAGCCCCTTTGAGGCGGGGTAGATGGCAGACCAGAGGCCTAGCTTCTCCCTACGAGCCCCGTGAGGGCGGGGAATGTGGCTAGGCCTGGGGACACTTGGTCCCAAAGATGAGGAGGTACTTGTACCTCCTCCCATGGGAGACTTAAGTCTCGAGACACTCCCCAGATAGGGAGCCAAGGCCGGGTCACCACTACTTGGAAAAGACCCGGGCCGGGAGAATACCGGCGAATAAAAAAAAAATGAATAATGATACCTGTCACAATGTCTCTTACCAACTTGGTATTGTACACCATTTATAGTGTGAAATCTGGTCCAGGAAAAAAAAGGTACCAAAACTAAGGCCATGTGCAGTCGAAAGTGATCTCAAAACAACCCAGGTTATACCAAAATGTCTAAAGTTTCCTCCCTAAGTGTCAGTTTTGTGAACTTACTAAACAAAGCAACATTAGACTTGCCAATAACAAAATACGTGGAACACCCACCGCAACCACTACCCAAAGCCCGGAACAAACACCCTTAGAAACTATGTGCAAAAACAGATTCCACAGCTTCTGAAGGTCGTTGGTGGGTTCCAAGGCCCACAGTTCTACGTACCCTTTGTCTTCAGGGCAGATTACTCTCCCCTGCTATATGCATTCATAATGCATATAGCAGATTCTCCAATTCTATACCTTACCTATCCTACTTAACACCACCTAATTCTGTGAGTTATTTTGAAAGACACTAAATAATTGTAGACCTACAATGTGTTATATATATATACACACCACAACTATGCAACATACTCCACCTATAGGCTTTACTAATTTGCAGAGCAGTGGCGGCGCAAGGGGGGATGAAGGGAGGTAAAGGTAAGATCAAGGGGGTCTAGGTAAGATCAAGGGGGTCTAGGCAAGATCAAGGGGGTCTAGGCAAGATCAAGGGGGTCTAGGCAAGATCAAGGGGGTCCAGGTAAGATCAGCAGTCTCTAAATATATACGGTATAACCCGACGCTCTAATAGACACGAGTCGTTAGCTATAACTCAAGGCTATACTACGGAAAATAGTTTTGGGACTTCAAAGCATAAAATTACTTTTCCAGGCCCTACACAACCTTACTGAAAATAGAAAGATGTAGTTAAATCCACATTTCTGAGGAACCGTTATAGATTTTTCCGGCTATAATATATTCTGCCTAAGGAAAATTTATCCCGTTATGTGAAGCTAAAATTTTGGCCGTGTAGTTTTAAAAATAGGTTAGACAAATGAGCGGTTGAGTTAGATGTCTAGCATGGGCCAATAGGCCGGCTTCAGTGCTCCTTTCTTATGTCTTATGCCCCTCAAAGGAAGGTCTTTGACGCTAGTGAGGGGCTTTTGATCTAGGGAATTGGATCTGCGCTCCCGTTCCCTGAATTGAACTTGAATACCTTCCCTCCCCCCCACATGTGCTGTATAATCCTACGGGTTTAGCGCTCCCCATGATTATAATAATCTCGTCTTAATGGATCACCTGGAGTTTACCTGGAGAGATTTCCGGGGGTCTACGCCCCAGGCCTCATGGTGGATCAGGGCCCGACTAAACTATCTCAGTATAATTATTAACCAGGTAGATTAACACAGTTACACAATCAAGTCAGGATGACATCTATGACATTTTCATTAGGGTATTTATACTCCCCCAGGATGAAACCCCTACCAGTAGGCCTGCTGCAGTGTATGTGAACAGTGCCAGTGAATATAAGGGAACATGCCCACTTGTGCCCGGACTCGAATCTGTTCTTCAGTTGACGCCACTACTGAGTCATGATATATCACTTGCACATTTCATCTCTGCTTCCTACAATCTTGCAGGATGGTTATAGACTACATAATAAACATTAAATTAACAAACTTCCTAAAATCTAATCAGTCTTCAGTTCTAAGCTTTACAACCCATTTCTCCAATTCTTATTTCCGCCCCATTCAAAGTAACCTTTAGAATACATTTCTCATTATTTCCTGGCCAGAGATTTCATCTCTGGTCGGGAGATAAGCTATAATGCTTCCCACTAAGCTACTTTAGATATCAATTGCTAACAATCTTTCCTATACTCTCCCCACCACCTTCCTACCTAATACAATTACTATCTGCTTCAATAACCAAACTATAGTGGACTTATAACCTGGAAATACCTTACAAGTGGGCCCCGCCCACCTCTGACGTCGTCTCCAGTTGTTGCATCTCCACATACCTGGAGTAACCCTATGTATAACACTAAATATCATGGGTCTGACCATTTACTAGTGTGGTTGTCTCCACCCCTTAGACTGGTCAATGTTGCGGTGTTGATCAATGTTGCAGCAGACACAGCCAGGCACAGCACTCCTCAGTTACCACACCTGAAACACATTCGCATTATAACCATGAACATTACACATTGTAGGCAAACATTATCATGTAATATAAACTATTAACATTACTGCCCGACTAATATACCCAATAAAGTTTAACATAAGCCATTTTTTTCTTTAATATTTCTTTCACATAAACTTGATGACTAACAATTTGCTTACACGGAAGTCTATATTTGGATCAAGGCGCAAATTCCTTGAATCAAGAGACCTTCACTAAGTTATTTTTCAATGGAAAAAATAGCCCAGAACTGGATACACCATTATGGGTTATGTAGCGCCTAGTGTGAGTTTTTGTTTGATCAGAGGAAGAGGAGTAGCTCCAGTTCCTCACATCAAAACCCCTCCACTAAGGTCAATCCCCCTCCTTCAAGACATTAGATCCCAAAGAAAATTAAGACAAAATATTAATAATTTTTTTACCAAACTGGTGGTAGGGGACCAGGAGCTGCAACTCAACTCTGCTGTTGTACCGAGAATTACTTAGTTATTTAGATGTATAAAAAGGATGATGAAGCGGTAAAGCCGGCGGGGGTGGCAGGAGGAAGAGCAGCACATCTCTCCAACAGGATCACTAAAGTTCAACTGACTTTTAGTGACGTTGAGGTTGGTCATTGTCCTGATCTTCTCTATAACACCATCACTGATAACCGAACTAACTCTGACTACTTCCACTAGATGGCACTACTACACCATCTCTATCAGTACTACTCATGGTGGAGGGGTCAACCCGTGGGGGGTGATGGATCACCTGGGAGGATAAGTTCACTCCCAGGTGGCATAAATCACATTCCTTGGACGTGATCTATGCCCCCACCACCTTGGAGGAACGTCTCTCAAGGTCACCACTCTCACCACCAGAGGCGCTCAACTCCACTACTATTGTACCACTAGCACTCTACATGAGTATACCTGGAGAGGGTTTTGGGGGTCAGCGCCCCCGCGGCCTAGTCAGGGCCGGATTTAGACCTTGGGAACCCCGGGGCACTTTAGGTTTGGGGGGCCCTCAACATCTAAATTAAATTGAATTACGAATAAGAAAATGAACTATATTATAATCACGGGGAACGGTAAACCAGTAAGATTATACAGCGCACCTGGGAGGGGGGGATGGAATGTATTTAGGCTCAATTCAGGGAACCGGAGCACATATCCAATTCCCTGGACCAAGAGCCCCTCACCAGCATGAAGGAATCTCCCTTGAAGGAAGAAATGAACTAAAATGAATGATAAACAGCAGTTTTCGAAAAAAAAGGTTAGGTTTCGAAGAAGACATCTGATTTTATTTTTTCAGTTTTATTGACTTTAAGAATAACTTTGACTATAATTTTCAATTTGTAATATATTCCATCTACACTACATAATAATTAACGACGTGTATTTATTTATATATTTGGTGTTAACTTTCGGTATCTATGTATATGGTGGCAGTTGACCAGGACACATGGTTGTCCCTTAGAGGAAACAACATGGCTGGGTCTGAATCACATGGTGGCGCTTCACTGTTAATGTCTACACAAGTATCTGTAGAATGTGGTTGTGGTGATTCATCACATTTACTATCTTGATTTGATATGTTCTTTTTATTTTCTGCAGATGTACTTGGGAATGCTGGTGGGTCCTCAGAAGAAACATCATCTGGTAGTGGTATTGGTTCTTCATTACTCGCAGAGAAAAATTCTGTAACACGTTTTGTCTTTGCCAAGATCGCAGCAGCATTTCTTTCACTTGATTCTTTGGAAAACTTTCTTTTCTGAGCTCCTGAAAAACTAAATTTCTCCGGGGCATAGGGGGCCCTTTCTGAAAAAAAAACATTCAGATTTTTGACTTTTAAATGACAATTATTAATGACACACCAACACACACAAAAATAATAAAATTTATAAATAAAAAAATATTATAAATTATATATATATAATATAAAAATTTATATATAAAAATATATATAAATATATACAAATATATGGGGGAAATTTTTTATTTTAATTAAAAACCAAAATTTTTTTATATTTTAAAAAAAAAATAAAAATATTAAATATATATATATATAATATATATATATATATATAAAATAAACGGGTTATACATAGCCAATTAAGTTCTTCAACAAACTACTGTACGTTTTGCGTGCCCTTAAAAAAAAATTTTCTCTCATCCCTTTGAACAGTTTTTACCCCTGAACCCTTATACTATATAAAAATTTTTTATAAAATATTAGGCTGTCAGCAAAACAATGACCTTTCATAAATTACAAATTTACTTTTTCACTAAAACTAAGATTTATTATGCCATTAGTTTTAATTCCTTTAAAAAACAATATAAACTGTGAAAATTTAAACAAAATAAAAAACAATCCCTTACCCGATCCAACCGCAAATTACAATATCTCACAAAAAACTGCATTCATAAATTCAACATTTAACTTACCCCCCCCCTTTTTAAAACCCCTTTTTCACCAATTGTTTAACAACACACCATTTTTTCTTTAAAAAACTACTCGACAATATTAAAAAAGCCACTGTTATCCTAACACAAAATTTGATATAATACCAAGACGTATACCGCTATGCACACAGTAACCACTCCCCCCCTCCCACAAAATATGTTACACTTATTATTTGCCTAAAATAATACCGTTGTAAATCATCAAATACATTGAAATAAAAAATTAAAAAAAATAACGAAAAAGGGAACTCACAAGCATGTGTTGAATACAAAAAAAACCACACATCAATACACCACGTACTATCTCTGTATAACACCTTTGATACAAAAGGAAATCCAACATATTTTAGGCATCCTTTTGTGTCACCTCAACCAAAAAACACACAAATACGTAATGTACCCTCCCCACACTTATACACAAAAATAATGAGTGCAAAAACACTACTTACATATTGTTTAAAAACCTTCAAAAAACAATTTTAAAAACAATCTTACAAAACTACCCAGACCAAACTCACTCACAAAAAAGCTATTAGAAAAATGACGGGATGGATAATGAGAACCTTCAAAACTGGGGAGGCCAACCCCATGAGACACTCTTCGGGTCACTTGTTCTATCTGGGCTGGAATTTGCTGCACACAACAGCACCTTTAAAGGCAGGTGAAATTGCTGACCAAAAAATTACAGAAACCTTCACGCGCGCATAACGAGATAAAACCCCTCAATTACGGGGAGCGCTTGAGGTTTAAACCGTATTCCCTGGAACGCAGGGGGGAGGATACGGATTATATACACCTGGAAAATCCTAGAGGGCTGTACCGAACTTGCACACGAAAATCACTCACTACAAAAGCAAAAGACTTGGCAGACGATAAACATCCCCCAATGAAAACAGGGGGTCACAACACGTTAAAGACCATACAAAAAGTGTCAGGGCCCGAGACTGTTCAACTCCTCCAGCATACATAAGGGGATTACCAACAGACCCCTGCAGTCTTCAAGCGGCACGGGAAAAGCACCAAAGTCGTTCCTGCCAGCCGGGCGTGGCCTACATTGCTTTGCGTGCAGCCACATAACAGCCGGGTTTGTCGGGTCTGATCCACCAAGAGGCCTGGCACAACCGGGCCGCGGGGGCTTTACCCCCGAAACCTTTTTCAGGTAAACTCCAGTAAACCACGCTAACATCATACACTTTTCCATCCAAGAAAACTAGCCCACCGCAACCCCTTACTTTACATTTAAATCCTTAAACCCTTTCACCAAAATCTACGATAACCCCTTCAGTAAATCGGGTTTCCCATCTTCCCCCCAAAAATCCCATTGCGGCACTTTGTTCATACACGTGGCCCCAACACTTTTATCCTTTCCTGGGCTCCCACCCCCCATTGCCCAAAAATTAAAAAAAAACATAACCAAAATACAAAACCCCTTTCCCACCTGCTGACTCCACCCACCTAACTAAACTTTAACACCTGCAACACCTGTAACCCTTCCCCACCCACTAAACCCAACTACCCTCTTAGCCAACCCCTCACATCTTTAAACAAGTACAAAAGTACACAGCGTGAAATATAGTTTCCGGACTCCACATCTTTGCACTCCCCACCCTCCCTTAATCTCCTATTAAAAAAACAACCCCAACGCAAGATCCCCCGTAAAAACCTAAACATAACCTCCCTGACACTTGGTTTTTCACGTAGTTGTTGAAGACATTTCCATACAGAACCCCCTGCATACATAGGGGAGCCCCCTCAACGCCGCCCCACAACCCACCCCCTCCCCTCAAAACCTTTAATTAAAGCGTTCGGATCCCCACCTCAGTAAAACTCGCAAATAGCCTCCCCCAAAAATTAAATCCCTACCTCCCCCACCGTTGCATAACCATGCGCTCTTTTAGGGGCCCCCCCCCTGCTCACTTTCCCCCCCTCACAAACCCCCTTTTTTAGAAACCATCAAAATACGCTTCTCAAGAGGGATAAGCCCCCCCCCCTTGCTAACGGGGAAACGCAACCCCCCTCATTAGCCCGTCACAACCTGAACCCCATATAAAACTGAATACCCCATTGCAACTGTTGCCCTCACACCTCGAACGGGTATTTGCCCCAAAAGTGCCAAACTTGCTATACAACAGGACATTCTACTATAACCCTTTTAGCAAAGTTAATTTCTCTCCCTCAAACCTCCCCAAACTTTTCAAAACTCCATCCATGTCGCCTCGAATTTGCCCCTTGGCATCCCTACATTCCGCAACACAACCCACATATCAACAACTGATCTACCACACCCAAACCCCCCCTCAACAGTCCCCATTATGTACGCTTCCCCAATCCAAATACTTGGGCTTTACACATTAATTTTTCATCCCCGTACCTCACCAAAAACGTCTATCACCCCTTTTACCTTATGTAAACCCTCACATCCTCACCAAGACAGTCTTCATCCACGTAATCCACTAACCCGCCCCCCCTTCTCGTGCAAAACCAACCTCCTCTGCTATACTCCCCCTAACTGCCCTATAAAAGGGTTCTAAAACATGCAAACAAAATTTTCGAAGAGGGCATCCCTGTCGCAAAACCCCCCCCCATCTCTATGCTATTACCTATCGTTCATTAACCTTATTCCATAACTGCACCCCGATCAAAGTTTTTGCCCAAAAACAATTTCCCTCCCGAAACCCCAACCCAAAGCATAAAACTCCATAATGCATCCCCCTTCTACGCTATCTAAGCACTCTCCAAACCCCGAGCCAAAACATCCCCCCCCTCCCCCCCATGCTTATAAAACTCCTAATAACCCTGCCCTTCATACATTTACTACCCGGGATCCAATTTTCCTCTATCAAATTTCTTTACCTAAAACCGTTTATTCTGTTTCCCTAATCCCTTTCAAAAAACTTTTAATCCCGCACATAAGCAAAATTTTTCAGGGGAATCTTCACCAGGTCTGTCCACCCCTTTTGCACTAATACAAAAACACAGTCCCTTTACTGTCACCCATTTCCCCATCTTTCCCCATTACATTGAACAATCTGACTAAAAATCCCTCAAAACTTCCCAGTTCTTAAAATAAAAATCATTAGGGAACCCTCTACACCCGGTGCCTTTCCTAAACTTGCACCTGCTATAGTTGCCAAATTTCCCCTTCCATAATCTGTCCTTCCAAAGTCCCCCTATCTCTACCATCAAACTCGCATTGCACATAACCACCCGTTTTCCCTTAAAGCATCATCTCGTATACCCACA